CTCTACGTTTAATCTTTTCAGAAACTGCCAGATTTTTTGTTTTCTAAAGCAGTTGCACTATTTTGTATTCCCACCAGCAGTGCCCAGAGATTCCAGTTTCCTCACATATTTAGCAACTTTTATTATTATCTATCTTTATTTTAAAAATGACCTATTTTATTTGAAAGGTAGAGGCGGGGGAAAGAGCGATCTCCCATCTGCTGGTTCACCTCTAAATGCTGTCAACAGCTGGGGCTGGGCCAGGCCAGGCCAGGCCAAAGGCAGGAGCAAGAAATTCAGTCTCCTGCATGGGAGGCAGAGACCAACCATTTGAGCCATCATCACTTGCTGCTCGCTAGGGTGCTCACTAGCCCAAAGCTGGAATAGGAGGTAGAGGGGGCACTGAGACCAGGCACTCTGATACGGGTTGTGTGTCCTAAGTGGTGTCTTAGCCAGTGCACGAAAACACCCACTTCTTGCTGTGTTTTGCCATCTAGCCATCTTAGTGGGGATGAAGTAATACTTTCTGTAGTTTTCTTTTTTTATATATATTTATATTTTATTTTATTTAATGAACATAAATTTCCAAAGTACAGCTTATGGATTACAATAGCTTCCCCAGCCCCATAACTTCCCTCCCACCCACAACACTCCCCTCTCCCACTCCCTCTCCCCTTCCATTCACATCAAGATTTATTTTCAATTATCTTTATATACAGAAGATCAATTTAGCATGTATTAAGTAAAGATTTCAACAGTTTGCACCCACACAGAAACACAAAGTGTAAAATACTATTTGAGTACTAGTTATAGCATTAATTAAACACCTAAGAGTAATTGTGTATTAATTACAGAGTTCAACCAATAGTTTTAAGTAGAACATAAAAAATACTAAAAGGGTAAAGTATTAAGTTCTTTTATTTCTTTTTTTTGTTTGTTATATACTTTTTTATTTAATAAATGTGAATTTACAAAGTGCAACTTTTGTATTTTGTGGCTTCCCCTCCCCCAACCTCCCTCCCTCCCGTGGCCCTCCCCTCTCCCACTCCCTCTCCCATCCCGCCCTTCATCAAGTTTCATTTTCAATTACCTTCATATACTGAAGATCAACTTAGTATATACTAAGCAAGGATTTCAACAGGCTGCACTCACACAACCGCACAAGGTATAGGGTATTGTTCGACTAGTAGTGTTGTTTTATAAGTTTCATAGTAGAACACATTAAGGACAGAGATCCTACGTGGGGGGCATGTACCCAGTGACTCCCGTTGTTGATTTAACAATTGGCACTCTTATTTATGACGTCACTTGCTGTAGTTTTGACTGACACGTCCCTCATGGCTAATGATGTTGAACATCTTTTCATGTGCTTATTTGCCATGCATGTATCTTCTTTGGAGACATTTTTATGCAAATCCGTTGTTCATTTTTAAATTGTGTTATTCTTTTTATTATTGAGTTGTAAGAGTTCTTTATATTTTCTGGATACTAGTATCCAGCACTGCAGGCGGCGGCTTTATCTGTTACACCACAGTGCCGGCCCCTATATTTTCTTCAAAGAGTTTTCAGATTTTACCTCTTCCATTTAGGTCCTATGTATGATTGGTTTTGAGTCAATGTTTGTACATGGTGTGTGATAGAGGTCCAACTTACTTCTTTTGCATGTAGCTAGTCTGCTGTCCTTGTATCACTTGTTGAAACAATTCTTCTTCCACTGAATTGTCTTGGCACCCTTATTGGGAACCAACTGAACATAAATGTAAGATTTATTTCTGAGGCTGGCGTCAAGGGTCAATAGGCTAATCCTCCGCCTGTGGCACCGGCACTCCGGGTTCTAGTCCCGGTCGGGGCGTCGGATTCTGTCCCAGTTGCTCCTCTTCCAGTCCAGCTCTCTGCTGTGGCCTGGGAAGGCAGTGGAGGATGGCCCAAGTCCTTGGGCCCTGTACCCGCATGGGAGACCGGAAGAGGCATCTGGCTTCTGGCTTCGGATCAGTGCGGTGCACCTGCTGCAGCGCACAGGCTGCAGTGGCCATTGGGGGTTGAACCAATGGTAAAGGAAGACCTTTCTCTCTGTCTCTCTCTCTCACTGTCCACTCTGCCTGTCAAAAAAAAAAAAAAAAGATTTATTTCTGGTTGGAAAATATGCTTGCTTTGTATCTTTTTTATTTTGACAGGCAGAGTGGACAGTGAGAGAGAGAGACAGAGAGAAAGGTCTTCCTTTTCCATTGGTTCACTTCCCCAAATGGCTGCTACGGCTGGTGCGCTGCACCAATCCGAAGCCAGGAGCCAGGTGCTTCCTCCTGGTCTCCCATGTGGGTGCAGGGCCCAAGGACCTGGGCCATCCTCCACTGCACTCCCGGGCCAAGCAGAGAGCTGGATTGGAAAAGGAGCAACTGGGACAGAATCCGGTGCCCAAACCGGGACTAGAACCCAGTGTGCTGGTGCCGCAGGTGGAGGATTAGCCAAGTGAGCCTCGGTGCCGGCCTGCTTTGTATCTTTGATTGTGGTCCCTCCCATTTGCTCAGTTCTCTACATAAGGAACCCCAATTATCCTTCTTTGGGACCATGTTTGCTTTCTCTAAGAGTCTTCATCTTTTGTCTTTTGTTCTGTGTTCATTCTCATGCTTTTCCTCATGTCAGTAGTCAACATTTTCTTCGTGTCTATTTTACACATGGTTGTTTTTAGTCAATTCCATAACAATAATGGTCCTGAATTTATTTCTTTAGATTAGATAGCTCCCTTTTTGGTCGACTGTTTCAATATCTTGGCTTTCGTTTTATTGAATTCATGTTTTTGTTAAGCTGTTCTGTAATAACTAGCACTTGAGGAGTTTTCCATAAGCTTTGTTTTCTTCTCAGTTGCATATTTTTCAAAGCTTGATTTCTTTGAAAGGTAGAGTGATGCAGAGGGACGGAGAAAGAGAGATATTCCACCTGCTGGTTCACTCCCCTAATGACTGCAACATTCAGAGCTGGGCCAGGACAAAGCCAAGAGTCAGGAGCTCCATCCTTGTCTGCCTCATGGGTGGCAGGGACACAAGCACTTGGGTCATCCCCTGCTGCTTTCCTAGGCACAGTGTGGAAGCAGCACTCCAACAAGGAGTCCCATATGGGATGCTGGTGTCGCAAGGGGTGGCTTAACCTGTTGCGCCACAATGCTGGCTCCCTCAGTTTCATTCTTAATCTTCATTTCTCTGCTAAGGTTTAAATACGATTCATCCTCTCCCAAACCCGCGTTGAGATGTTAGTTCTCAGTGTAGCCGTGTTGGGAGGTGGAGTCTGGTGGGGGTATTTGGGTCATAGGAGCAGAAGCTCCTGATGAATGAATGCGGCCTTGGGAGATTTGCTCTTCTGGGGGTATTCGTTCCCATGAGAGCGGGTGCTGTAAAGTGAGTTAGGCTTCCCGCTTGTCACGTGACACCTCTTCACGTGCACCCCTTTTCCCATCCGTAATGGCGAAGTGGTGAGTTCTGATGAGGAGCTATCAGTGGACAGAGGGCACTGCAGTTAGAGGGAAAACAGGTTGCAGGACCTTGCCCATGGAAAAATATCTTACAATAAATAGGAGAGTGACAAAGAGGCTTTGCAGTTGGTGTTCATTTCTCTTGATTTAGATAATGTGATACTTAATACAGACAGGAATTCAACATCTATCTTCACAAATCCCCAGTAACATAAACATTTCTTCTGTTTTAAACTAAAGGTTGCTATGAGGCCAGCAACCTCCATAGTTCTTTCCTGAATGTTTAGCACAGGGTTATGACTGGAGTGGATATCCAATAAATACCAATTATTAATTACAACGGCAGAGCTATTTTGTTAGTATAGAATAATTCCAAGGGCTTCCCTACTGGTTTGTCTCATTGTAAGCCTATTAATACTTTGTATATATGTTATAAAAGCAGCATTGGAAATTCTCTGAAATAATTTGATACATATTTTAAACCTCACTTTTGCCATTATTATATCCGTCGAGAGGGAAAAATCCATTTAAAATTTTATTTACCGTGTGTGTGTGTGGGGAGAGAGAGAGAGAGAGAGAGAGAGAGAGAGAGAGAGAGAGATCAAGAGACCTTCCATTGTGCTGGTTCACTTTCCAAATACCCCATAATGGCCAGGGCTGGGCCAGGCTGAAGCCAGGAGCCAGAAACTGTATCCCAGTTTTTCACATGGGTAGTAGGGAACCCTTGTCCATCACCTGCTACCTCCCAAGGTGAGAATTAGCAGGAAGCTGTATGGCAGAGTAGCCAGGACTTGAACCAGGCACTGAGATACCAGAAAAGGCCGTCCCAGTTGAGGGCTACTCTGCTAGACCAAATGCCAGTGCCCTAAAGCTCCATTTTTTAATCCCAAAGAAAACAAAGCAGATATCACAGGTTAAGAGTCCAGCTGATCAACAGCATTTCACAATTTGTACCAACGTCTGGGGATAGGAGCTTTGTGCGTCACTTTTATCACTTTTAATCAATCAGGCACCAACTTCCCACAATTACGTTTCCATTTTAAAAGAAAGCCTTAACTTTTCAAGCTAGCAAATCCATTTCTCCAAAGTTCTGGCCCTCACAAATGCTGTCCTTCTAGACGCTAGGGACTCATCTAGGGGCCACTGGGTGCAATCACGCTCTGACGGCGGCCAGCGGGTCCTCTGGGCTGGGAGGTGTGGTGGACACACTTTCAAGTTTCAAGCCAGGAAGCATGTTCTCCTGCCTGAAGAGCACAGGGGTTTGTTATCCGATCGCCGGTAGCACTCTGCCTCTTCCACCTGTTTGCTCATCCTTCTTCGGACGCGGGGGAGGGACGGGGCGCTTAAAGTGGTTCTTCCCACGACAGCCCCAGGGGCCCAACCTGCTCGGGCCCACCCGGGCGGGCGAGAGGAGCTCACCTGTGCTTGGGCCCCAGTCCCCGGCCCCAGCCCGGGGCAGTGAGGGGGCGGGGCGAGCGCCATGACGTCAGATTGCCCCGACCAATGGGAAGGCCCTCGCGGCGCCGGCCGCGCTGCCGGGCATTAAAAAGGGGGCGCTGGCGCACCGGGTTGCCGGTAGCTGTCCCGGGCTCGGAGTGTCTCGTGCGACGGCTAGTGCCTCCCTCGGGTGTCTGCGCCCTCGTTGGCTGCCCGCGGCCGCCGGCGAAGTTCACCTGTAGTTCGGAGGCGCCCCCGGTCCATGGAGAAGGGCCCGGTGCGTGCGCTGGCGGAGACGCCGCGGGGCGCCCGGTGCAGCAATGGGTTCCCTGAGCGGGAGCCGCCGCGGCCCGGACCCAGCCGGCCGGCGGAGAAGCCCCCGCGGCCCGAGGCCGGAGGCGCGCCGACTGCGGACGGCTGGAAGGGCGAGCGGCCGCGCAGCGAGGAGGATAATGAGCTGAACCTCCCCAACCTGGCGGCCGCCTACGCGTCCATCCTGCGCTCGCTGGGCGAGGACCCGCAGCGCCAGGGGCTGCTCAAGACGCCCTGGAGGGCGGCCACGGCCATGCAGTTCTTCACCAAGGGCTACCAGGAGACCATCTCGGGTCAGTGCGCGCGTCGGCTTGGGGAGGCGGCTCCGGGAACTTCTCGGAGTTGCCTCACTCCGGGGAGGGAGCGCCCGAGCGCTGTCACCTCCCGAACCCCACCCTAGCGGCGGGGACGCCCTGTCCCCGGAGCCCTCATGGACTCTTCCGCCCGGGCTCGCCCGAGTGAGCGGGGGGCGCGGCTCGGGGCGCGCGCGGGACCCAGCATTCGGCTGGCAAGGATCACCTGGTGCTGGCGAGGGAGGAGTCTTCCCGGGTTTGGGACGATCTGGGAGGGAAGCGCTGGCTTCGGGTGCTCGGGGCACCCCGGGCGATTTTTCCACGTTCGCTGATTGCCCCCCTCCCGGAGGGGGTCGGGCTGGGGTCTCCGGAGTGCTGTAATTATTTTCCAGCTCAGGTTCGCTCCAGCTCAGTACTTTTCCAAAACTGGCAGGATTCTGAGCGCAGGCTGTTCCCTAGAGTTTGAGGCGTGAGGTTTTGGGGGCTAGAGTTTGCAGCCCTCAGTCTTCGTTCCCTTTCCGTCGCTCCCATCTGCATCCAAAGCAGAAAAGCGACCCGGGCCGGACCCAGCGCTGCCTGGCAGCCACCCAGCAGGCGGAGGCAGTCGGGGTGGGTGGGGTGCGGAGGCGGGTTACCGGCAGGTCAGTGTGCCTGTTGGTGCGGTGAGCACTTTTTTTTTTTTTTAAGACAACAAAAAATACTGTCTTCGGGTGTGACTCAAAGCTTTCCAGTCCACATCTTGCTCGCGTCTTGGTGATATTTATTTATTTATGTCTAAGAAGCCTTCTCCCTTCACCATTTCTCAAAGAAAAACAGGGCTGCTCCCTGCTCTTTGCATTTCTGTCAGAGAGGATGGAGTAACTCCGCTGAATAGACCCTGGGAAGAACAAAGTTATTTCTAACCACCTTCCACACCCCAAAGGAAGGGTGGGAGAGGGTGGGGCTCCAAGAGGAAATAATAGGGCGTCCTGGAGCCAAGAAACGGGCCTCTCGTTCTGTGTCCCAGTTCATGCTTTTTAGCCCGGTTGCAGAGGTTTGGAGCCTCAAAAGCAGATTTTCAAAATGCAAAGAGTGAAAAATAAACTTCTGGTTTCTGTGAGATCAGCTTGTTATTTTAAAATTTTTACTGGGGCCGGTGCTGTGGCATAGTTGGTAAAAGCCACAGCCTGTAGCGCCGGCATCCCGTGTGGACACCAGTTTGAGTCCCGGCTGCTCTGCTTCCAATCCAGCTCCCTGTTGATCCTCCTAGGAGGCTGGTGGAGGATGGCCCAAGTGCTTGGATGGCCCTGCACCCACGTGGGAGACCCGGAAGAAGCTGCTGCCTTCAGCTTGGCCCAGCCCCTACCATTGTTGCTCCCTGGGGAGTGAATCAGTGGGTCCAAGATTCTCTCTCTCTGTCTCCTCTCTGTAACTTTGCCTTTCAAATAAATAAAAAATCTCAAAGGCATATATTTTTTTTTTTTAACAGGCAGAGTTAGACAGAGAGAGACAGAAAGGTCTTCCTTTTCTGTTGTTTCACTCCCCACATGGCTGCTATGGCTGGCGTGCTGCGCTGATCCAGGTGCTTCCTCCTGGTCTCCCATGCAGGTGCAGGGCCCAAGCACTTGGGCCATCCTCCTCTGCCCTCCCTGGCCACAGCAGAGAGCTGGACTGGAAGAGGAGCAACCGGGACTAGAACCCGGGGTGCTGGCGCCACAGGCGGATTAGCCTAGTGAGCTGTGGCACTGGCCATAAGAATATCTTTAAAAATTGTATTTATTTATTTGAAAAACAGATTTTTTTTTTTTCTGTCCACTGGTTCAATCCCCAGATGCCTGAAAAAGCTAGGGCTGGGGCAGGCAGAAGCCAGGAACCTGGAACTCAATCCTGATTTTTCCCAGTGGGAGGCAGGGGCCTGGGTACTGAGCCATCGCCTGCTGCCTTCCAGGGTGCACAGCAACAAGGCTGGAAGCAGAGTTGCGAATGGAACCCAGGCTCTCTGGTCATGCACCAAATACCTGCCCGGCTGTGAAGCTGACTTTTTTTTTTTTTTTTTTTTTTTTTTAATTTATTAACTTGAGAGGCAGAGTTCCAGATGAGAGAAGGCCTCCATCCACTGGTTCACTCCACAAATAGCAGCAACAGCCAGAGCCGGGCCAATCCGAAGCCAGGAGCCAGGAGCTTCCTCCTGGCCTCCCACGCGGGTGCAGGGGCCCAAGGACTTGGGCCATTTTCTACTGCTTTCCCAGGCCATAGCAGAGAGCTGGATCGGAAGGGGAGCAGCAGGGACTCGAACTGGCGCCCATATGGGATGCTGGCACTGCAGGTGGATGCTTAACCTACCAGGCCAGAGCGCTGGCCCCAAAGCTGACTTTTAAAAGGGCTGGTTCAGTGATATTCAGGGATGGAATGTCCAGGATCTTCTTTAGGGCCTTGCTCGCTCTGCCTCCTGCAGACGTGGAGGTGGTCTCTGCGGCGCGGCCAGGCTCTGGGAAGCTTGCTAAGAGAATTCACAGGGGAGTGGTCTGTAATCGAGTGTGTGTCTCATTTCCTGAAGTATCAGGCGTTGCTGGCCCTGAGACAGGGCACAGAATTACCTAAAACATCTCGCAGGTGTACCTGAGAAATACTTAGCACCAGTTTGTCTCAGGAGCCAAATTCAGCCAAAGGGGGCTGAGGACTCCAGGGGCACTCCATCCAGCCTTGGAGCATGGTTCTGGTGGAGTACTAAGCCATTATTGAATAAAGCCAAGGTGGGGGTGGGGTGGGGATGGAGTTGTGGCGCAGTGGGTTAAGCTGCCCTTTGCGATGCTAGGATCTCTTATCGGAGTGCTGGGTTTGAGCCCCAGCTGCCCAGCTTCTGATCCAGCTTCCGGCTGAAGCACCTGGGAAGCTGCAGAAATGTGCACCTGCTGGGGGACCAGGATGGAGTTCGGGGCATCTGGCTTTGGCCCAAACCAGTCCCAGTCATTGTGGCCATCTGGGGAATGAACCAGTGGATAGAAGATTCACATTTCTCTCTCTCCTTCTCTCCCCCTCTCCCTCTATGCCTGGAAAATAATAGAAAAAAAAATTTTTTTTAAAAGTCCATGAACCTAGGACAGAAAGCAAGTTAGTGTTTGTCAGGGACCGGCAGGAGGGGGAGCTGAGGAGTGCCTGCTTAATGAGTTGAGTCTTCCCTTGGGAAGATGAAAATACTGCAATTAGAAGGTGGTTCCATTTGCACACACTGAATGCCACTGCACTGAACACTTTAAAAGTGGTTAAAACCATGCTATATATATTTTTCCCTATATTTTTTATAAGTCCAGAGACTATTTCAGATTATTAACAGCATTCAATGAATGTATTTTTTGGGATCGATGCTTTATGTGGAGGGTCTCGGTGAGCCCTCAGGTTGGAGGCAAACACCGTTCTCTTCTCCCTGTGACAAGGAGGCTGACAGTTTGTAAGTAGTGAAGTCAGGTGGTCAGCCTGCCTGCTGAACTCTTACTACTTCTCTCCTTACTTTGAAACACAGAGAGATGAATCGGGGTAGCTTGTCCACCAAGCATCTCATACTGTGAGCTGGGTCATCAGCATTAAAAATAATAAACAGGAATAAAATGGGTAGACTAGGCAAGGTCACCCTGTCACACGGGGTAAGATGTAGCAGGGGAATGTTTCGAGGGACTTCTGTAGAGGTTTAGCAGGAGTGGGTTTAGCATGCTCTGGGCCAGGTGTGAAATGCCTTTCTTACTGTGGATTGGAGATAGACATTTAAAAGCCTTCATCTGGGGAGTCATGCTTGCACATTAAAAAAAAATTTTTTTGACAGGCAGAGTGGACAGTGAGAGAGAGAGAGAGGAAGGTCTTCCTTTTGCCGTTGGTTCACCCTCCAATGGCCGCCGCGGCTGGTGAGCTGCGGCCAGCATGCCGCGCTGATCCGAAGCCAGGAGCCAGGTGCTTCTCCTGGTCTCCCATGGGGTGCAGGGCCCAAGCACTTGGGCCATCCTCCACTGCCTTCCTGGGCCACAGCAGAGAGCTGGCCTGGAAGAGGGGCAACTGGGACAGAATCTGGCGCCCCAACCGGGACTAGAACCCGGTGTGCCGGCGCCGCAAGGTGGAGGATTAGCCTAGTGAGCTGCGGCGCTGGCCTATTAAATATTGATTTTTACAGAAAGGGCTAAATAATAGGAGATGGAGGGGAGAGGACAGCAAGGATGATGCTGAACTTAGAGGCATGGACCTGATAGTGATGAAGTGTCCTGGACCACCCTGGATGGGAGAGAAGGAAGGCTGTTGAGGGAGGTGGAAGTCAGGAGTGACCGAAGTCTTGAAGTCTGTAGAGAATACAGAAGAGAGAAATAGAGAAAATCAGCTTGCACGATCTCCGGTTTTTATTTCTGGAGAGGGTATATAAATCAGTGGCTGCTACAGATTATTTTTGGGTAGAAAAAAATTTCTTTGGAACTCATTTTTCTATGTAGATACAGGATTTTGTATCAAAAGATAGATTGCTGTATTCTGTGTCTTCATTTCTGGTTAATAGATTTGACTTGAGTGTAATATGAAATCAGTTGGTATTTTACCTTCCTCACATCCTTTCCATTTTTAACAATTTTCTCTCGTGTGGGTTGTTGCCAATTTCTGGTGTTCTGAGGGATGTGTGATTTTTTCTGTACTGCAGCTCCTTGCCACGACCCTTACCTGCTGTTCCTATCTGCTGTTTTTAGTGCGTGCCTTCCCATGGGAGCATCTGGTCACCTGTGGCAGGGCTGTGCGGGTCTCCCTGTTCCTGGCCACTACTGGTCTGTAGCTGGTGACCCAGGAGGGAGGCTGGAGGGGATGCTGTCACCTCTGCCACGTGCCAGTTGTCCTTTGGACCTAGTCACAAGCTGATCCTTGGACCAGCTCAGATCAACTCCTCTTTGTTTCTGTTGTATCTGTTTAGCCATGGCCTAGTCCTCTTACAGAGTCAGGGTATTTCCTTGATAAGTTCATTGTAGGGAGTGCATCTTTCCTATATTTCCGTTCTTTTA